GGTCATTTCCATTCCAAATATGGAATTTGAGGATGGATGGGAATTCTCTTCTCCAGATGAAGTAAGGAGGGGTGAGAGTGAGTGAGCACAGAGGGCTTTTGTCTTAGCTGAGAGTTTCTGACTACAGCTTTTAAAGCATTCAGGAGGTAGGGTTTTGCTACACTCGCTGTTGGGAAGGAATTGTCTGTGATAGAGCAAAGCCAAACAGCCGTTGCAGTGGTAAACTTAATGGAATGGGTAAGAAAGTTTAAACTCCAGGATTGGAGCTAAACAGACTTTCATGAACAAAAAAAATGACTTTGATTTTGAAAATCTAGTATGATGGTGAAACATACATGGTTTGTTTTAGGGGTTTTTTTTTCTTCCTTAAAAGGGGCCCAAAATTGCCTTTCCTCCACATCCCCCTCCCAATGATTTGTTTATCCCTGGTTAATGGCCTTATGGCCACAATCTCAGACTGGGAATTAGCAGCCTTGCTCCTGCCAAAATGAGATGATAGGTTTGGCAAATAAACTATCTAAGTAAACACAAATAAATGGAGACTATGAAATCATTCTTGAAGTGTATTGTGACTGTAGAAATGATTACCTGAAGTTTTAGTAGAAGTGTATTCTCCATTGTACTTTAGAGAAACTTTTTTTGGGGGAGGGGGTTGGGGAGGGGTCAGGTCAGGGAATAGAGTGGGTGGGACCAAACCTGTGATTTCACTGACATAGGGAATTCCCAGCTAGGAAACTGAATTCACCAATGAAAATCATCAAGTTCTCTGCTTTGTTAATGTTATTGAGTCATTTCAGTTGTGTCCGAATCTTTGTGACCCCATTTGAGGTTTTCTTGGCAATGATATTGGTTGTGGTTTGCCATTTTCTTCTCCAGCTCATTTTACAGAGGAGGAAACTGAGGTGAACAAGGATAAGTGACTTGCCCAAGGTTACACAACTAGTGAGAGTCTGAGATCAGATTTGAATTTAGGTCTTTTTGGACTATAGGCCTGGCACTCTATCCACTGTGCCACCAAGCTGCCCTAACTGCTCTACTACTTATACGCTTAGAGAATTGCCTAGATCACTGAGAGGTTAAGTGACTTGCCTTGGATCACAGAGATGACATGTCAGGTCTTCCTGACTCTGAAACCAGATCTCTAGCCACTACACCATGCTTTCTCTCTTGAAAACAGTAAATTACTCAATGTCAACGTTATTGTTATCACCACCACCACCACCACAATCATTATCACCATCATCATCATCACAATTTCATAATCAGGTAGCCTGTATGGGCATTTCTGCTACCCTAGCCACCTGGGTTCAAATCCTGCCTCTGACACATAGCAACTGTCATGACACGTAACTAGTCTTTCTGAGACTTAGTTTCATTACCTGGAAAATGAAAGGTTGACTCACTGAACTATATGGAGCTTTCCAGTGATAGATCTAAGATGGCATTTGATCTCTATGGACCTCGATTTATTTGCTTATAAAGAGGGTATTTACAAGATGATAATCTAACAGTCTACAAGTCTTTGTTCTGATTTCTAATTAATGGAGAGAAACAACTTCAGGAAATTTGGTGCCTCTCTATCCTTCAACTCCCATGACAGATTATGCAGAACCCCAGGCTCAGTGTGCATTCATCCACTCAAGAAAACAGGTGCAAACCGCTGAGATAGGTAAATACCATCATTAAAATGGGAAACAACCAGGGAGCAACCTACATGTGTTTACATTTCAGTAGATTCCAAAGAAAGGTGTTTATAAAAGAAGCATACGTGGAGATGGAAAGAAGGGCAGAGAACAGGAGGGCACAGAACTCCTCCTTGGAAACACCACCTGTATCTCTTCATCAAAGATGATTGCTAAAGAGTCTCAGTCAAGGCCTAGTGTGTGGACGTGCTTCTCCTTCCAACATCCATCACACCCAGACTTCCACAGAAAATCAACAAAGTGAGAATCAGCAGTTAATTTCTGGCCCATGAGTAGGGCATCTACTAGGAGGCACAAAGCAGCTGTTGAGAGTATAACTCAGTCAACTAGTCTACCTCTTAACTTGCCAGGTGTAAGGAAAAGAGCTAATAGGAAATCAGGAAACCTAGGGTTGAGTCCCAGGTGGACCAGCAGCCCAAAGTGTGACCTTGGAGATGAAAAATAACAATGGTCATTCATATCTGTGAAGTACATTTTAGGTTTATAAGAGATTTTCTTTATAACAGACTAATGAGCTAGGCAGAGTAGCTACATGACCTTAAGAAAAATATAAGCTTTGGTTTCCTTACCTGCTTTTGAGGAAATTGAATTATAGAATGGATGTGATCATGGAAAAGAATGGAATTAACCATCATATTTTAAAAAATGGATGCCTATTGATTTTTTCATAAAGTAAAATTTTATTGTTACTTATTATTTTTATGTCATTTACATCCCTCAGGGTACCCTTACTCCATCCCTCTAAGGGATCTATTCCTTATGAAAAAAAATAAGAATTCCATAAAAGTAACCAATAAATCAAAAAAATCTGCTGGAATTCCATTCCCACAGGCTCCCTCCCCCTTGCAGAAGTGGGGAGGTGCCTTCTTATATTTCCTTTTTGAGGTGAAGCTTAGTCATTGGAAGATTCCATTCCATTCCATTACGATTGTTTTCTTATCCTTTTTCTCTATTTACGTTGTTGATTTAATAACAATGCACATTGATAGAGTTATTTATTTTTAAAATGCTGTTGATTGATTGATGGGTTAAGATTATACCCCTAGTAAGTATTGGAGGTGGACTTGGACCAAGGTCTTTCCTGGCATAGACCAGGACTAGAGTACTAAGCTGCCTCATCAATGCTGTGCTCTCACAGGACACCAATAACAGAATGATCAAAGTTAATAGCACCAAAATGACGTAGATAAGCAAGTAAATGAAAGAGTCAGAAATGTAGAGCTTTGCAAAAGAAGAGAATGTGATACTGCAAACAGCATATTCCCAGTAGGATGATGGCCAAAGGTGAGGAAATAACCCTTCCATTGCATTCAGCAAGCCCTTGAGGATTGGAACTGGTTTTGATTTTTGCATTTTGAAAATTTAAGTAAATTTGAAAGGAATTTAAGCAAACTGTAGGGGAAGATATATAGATGTAGATACAGATATAGATACATATACATATATATGGATATCTAGATATAGATATCTATACATGGATACATAGATATAGACAGCTATAGATGCATACACATATAAATATATATACATAGCATTGACTTTGTTACTAGACTGGGATAGGTCTTATGAGTGATGAAACTAGTGAATTGGTAGAACCAGTAGTTTTAGAGAGATACCTAGAACACTGAGAGGATTAGTGGTTTTCTACAGTCACTCAGACAGTATGTGTCAGATGTGGGATTTGAACCCAAGTCTTCCTGGCTTTGAGGCCTGTTTTCTATCCACTGTGATATACATCACATCCTAGATCTGTCATTTTGCTGTGGAAACTCCGGTTAGGCTCTCTGAGCCTCAGTTTCTTTGTCAGACCTCTTCAAAGGTCCTTTTTTTTTAAATCTAGAGGTCCATGTTCCTATTGTTGATGGTTAAGAATAATGATGACAATTACTTTATTTAATTCAATTTAAGAAGCAATGATTAGGTACAATTGAGCAGGCATTGTGTTTGGTGCTAGACATATAGAAGAAAAAAAAAATAAAGACAGTCCCTGCCTCTAAGGTCTTTTCATTCTACTGACTTCTATTCTATAGGTCCTTGAGCTAATAAATCATTTTCACATAGATTCACTCCTCTAGCCTTCTAGTGGCAAGAAATAGGGCAGGTGTTATAGTGTCCAGCGTAGAGATGAGGAGGCCACTCACAAAAGGTTAAATAGCTGGCTGGGAGTAGAGTAAGGATTATATGATATGCTCTTTTAGTTTAATTTTTTTTTAAATTTTTCTGAGAACAAAATTTTAAAAGCATTTAATTCAGTTAATTGTTGCATTAAAATGGATGCTACCACTTGAAAAAATGAGGCTGATCTATTTACTAAAGCAGACTGGCAAGTCTTGGCTCTTCCTGGAACTAGCTGTGAGTGACCTTGGACATATCAATTAATCTCTCTACCCATCTTATCATCTATAAAGTAAGGGGATTAGATAAGATCTCTATTTTTTTCTAACTCTAATGGTATGTGATCTCTACTGGGAAAAATGGTTCCTTAAAAAAGCAGTCATTGTTGATTACTGTTCAATAATAATAATTCCCTGGGTTGCTGAGAGCTGCAATCTACAGCTTTTGAGTTATCTTCTTTTTTTGTAACTTTTTTCTTCTTCAGTCCATAGGGATACTTTGATTCTTGGTCCATCTCATTAAGCATAAAATAGTTTATTTGTTCTCTCACTAATCCATTTTTTCCAACTTAATATTCATGGATGGTCTGCTGTGGTGTGGTTCCTTTGGGCAGCAACATATCAACTCATTTGCTGACCTAGCATAAAAATAAAATCCACCAAAGTTTCTTTTTACTTCTTGTATCAAGTTTACTTCGACAATATCCAGAATTTAATTTAATTTTTTCCTCTACCTGGGTGTTTTGTAGCCAGCCACCATTTTTATACCAGACCTATTGTACCATTCTTGGTTTAAAACCTAATACATTATATATTTAAGAGACACATGAGAGCTTGGTTATTGCCTTTGTACCAAAGGTAACAGACACTGCATCCACATCTTTGCTTAGAGAAAGGAAAACTGTCAAGGATGATTGTCTCTGGCCAAGAAAAAAGTGTGTCAAACCTACTTCTTGGCCAACAAGTTACAGTATTAGTGTCAAGAATTCTACAGAAGGGATCTTTCTTTCTTTTGAAAAAAATTTTAATGGGTTAATTAGATCAGTAAAATGAAGTTCTAAAATCAGCAGAAAAGTCTTAAAATACATTAGAGTTCTTTTGAAACTTTAAAGGAAATCCAATATATACTTGAAGAACAAAATCAATGAAGAGTCTTAAAGGCTTCTCGTCTGATTTGTCACAGGGTCCAAGCTTTCTCTCCGAGGCCCTTTTTCCTGTACTGGCTGCAGAAATTGAAGAATTGGATCCTTTCTTCAACCTTCATGAAACTGTTGCAAAGGTAAGGGTGAGAAAAGATGGTTAATTAATTATCCAGGCCATTTTCAACCTTCATTTTGTTTTATGATAGTGATAGTGCTTAGGAGTGGGAAAGTGTATTTTTATGTCATTTGTCTCACCCTTCTGGATGGTTAAAATATTCTTCGAAAGAAAGAGACCTGATGTGGCATCTACTCCAAATTCTTCGGATTTTAGGAGGTGGAGAAACTGAAATAGAGGTGGAGAAAATGACTTTGTATAGAGATTATATAGCTAGTCTATACTAATGATCTTCCCACTTTGTATATCTCCATTATCTTGAATTATTGTACATTGCCTTTTTAACCTGTAGACAGGTTTGACTAATTGGCAAAATTTTAAATAAACCTTCCCTCTTGTTGTTGGGGCTATTTCATACACTGCTACAAAGTACATAAAATATATATTTTATTAATGCTTTTTGTCTTGATATCAATCATTTTCCACCTCCCTCCAGAATGAACTCCCTCTTGTGATGAGAAAACAAAACAAAACAAACCTCCTGTGGCCATGTCCATCCCTTCTATCTTTTGAGCCTTTCCTTGGTAGGAGGCAGACCTCTAAGTAAGCTATTTGAACCCAAATCGCAGGCTGTGAACTTTGTTCACCTAGCCTCGCACCTGAGCGTTTATTGAATTGTCTGTTTCTTCTGTTGCTGAATTTTCTTCTTGTAGTAGGAGTTTTGTTTTAGTTTGGTTTTGTTTTAAAAGGTTCAAATCTATCCTGGCATTTGTCTTTTTAATGTAATGCATAGAACCCAAAGAAAGTAACAAATGAGGCTTGGTGTGGATGCCAAAGAGGTATAATTCATCACTGCACCAGTGACAATGGACAGGTATAGTACATAGCTGCTGAAGGACAACACAAGCTGCATCTATTTGGAAAGAGTTATTTTCATCCTCTCCACCCAACTTTTTTTTTTTTTTTTTGCAAAAGAGCAGTCGTTCCTTCTTGGCATCATAACATCTGCCCCAGGTCGTTTATTGGAGGTAAATAAACAGAATGCTAGTTGAAATACCAGTCCCCCAGACCCTACCACACATGATTAAAGAAGGTAGAATTGTGGATAGTGAATTTAGGGGAAAAAAAGGGATAGAGACTCCAAAAAGGATCTGTCAAAGTAACTCACTGGCTTGGCCTGGAGAAGACTTGGGAGTGGGGAGGGGGAGGGCCAAAAGAACTGTCCTCGGGTATTTGGCAGGCTGTCAGGTCCATGAGGGACTAGATTTATTCTGCTTGGCCCTGGATGGCAGAACCAGGAACAGTCAGTGGAAGTTGCTGAGAGGTAGATTTTGGCTCAGTAGAAGGAAAACTTTCTACTAATTAGAGCTGGTAAAATATGCATTGAGCTACCTTGAGAGAGGCTTCTCCCTTCCTAGGGGGAGGTCTTTAAACCAAAGCTGGATGTTCCTTTTTTCATATTCTGTGACCTACCTATCTTTCCAATTCGATCTTACATTCATCATCTTAATTAATTAATTAAGATAATTGAGAACCATTTATAGGCAGGGGTGAGAAGAAGGCCATGATCAGAGCTATGCTCTTAGAAAATTAATCTGGCAGTAAATAAACACTGAATTTGTAGTATTTCTCCTCTAGAACTCAAATTACTTCCACATACACATAATCATTGCATATTAACATGTAGGATGAGGCAAAAACTGATTTATATAAAGATAGTCATGGAAACCAGTGAAGGGCCTCATTCTATTTAAAATTTCCCTCCATGACCTCACTTTATTTCCATTTTATTTTTTCTCTTTTTTAGAGAAAAGTAAGCTTCATATTATTCTTTTGAAGGGAGTATCAGAAGGTATCTTCATCATTGCAGTTGTCAATATTACCATCATTATTATCCCCGTTTTACATCCTGAAGTAGACTGAGGAACAGAAGGAACAAAGAAAATCATTGTCAGCGTCCTACTCTCCGGCCTTACTCTAACCAGTATTCTTTCTACGGAAAAATTAATCACTCATTCAGTCAGTCATTCAGTCAAACAACACACACTTACTAAGAGCCTGACATGTACCAAGCATAATGCTAAATGCTGAGGATACAAAGAAAAGCAAAAGATGGTCCCTGGCCTCTGGGAGCCCAATAAGCAAACAGATATATAGAAACTCTATGCAAGATTAAGTAGGAAATAATTAGCAGAGGGAAGGTGCTAGAATTAAGGGAAAATAGAGAAGGCTTTTTGTAGAAGGTAGGATTTTAGTTGGTACTTGAAGGAAGGCAGGTTATCAAGTGGGCAGAAATGAAGAGGGAAAGAGTTACAGGCTGGAATATAACCAGAGAAAATGACTGAAGCCAAGAGATGTAGTGTCTTGTTTGTGGAATGTCGAGGACTCCAGTATCACTGGTTTTAACATTGCTTGGGGGATATAAAAATTGTAAAAAGAATGGAAAGGAGAGGGTATGGGATTATGAAAGGCTTTGAGTGTCAAACAAAGGATTTTGTATTTGATCTTAATGGTGATAGTAAGCCATTGGAGTTTGTTGAGGGAGGGCAGGAAGGGTGACCTGATTGGACCAGCACTTTAGAAAAATCACTTTGGTAGCTGGATGTAGGGTGAATTGGAGTGAGGAGAGATTTATGGCATGCATACCCACTAGCAAGAGGTTGTAATAGTCCAGGCATGAGATAATGAAGTCCTGTACCAGGGTGGTGGCAGAATCAAAGAGAAGGGGATATATATATATATATATATATATATGAAATATGTTGCACAGATGAAATCAACTGGTCTTGGCAACAGATTGGATATGGGGGTGGGGGTTGAGAAATAGTGAAGAGCTGAGCATGACACCTAGATTGTGAGGCTGGGTTACTGGAGAATGATATTGCCCTCCATAGTAATAAAGAAATTTGGAGAGAGGGAGGATTTGGTGTGTGTGTGGGGGGGGAGATAATAGGTTTAGTTTTGGATATGTTGAGTTTAAGATGTCTACTAGACATCCAGTTGAAGATGTCCAATTGGACATATGAAACTTGAAGATCAGCAGAGACATTAAGACTGAATAAATTGGTTTGAGAATCACCAGTGTGGAGATAGTAATTAAATCCACAGGAGTGGATAAGATCACCATGTGAAGTAGTATGGGGAAAAAGAGACTAGGGCCCAGCACAGAGCCCTGTGGGACCCTCACTGATAGTGGGCAAGACCTGGGTGATGATCTAACAAAGGAGACAGAGGAGGAGTGCTCAGATGGGTAAGAAAAGAACCAGGAGAGAATGACATCCCTAAAACCTAGAGAGAAGAGTGTATCAAGAATAAGAGGGTGATCAGCAGTGCCAAAGGCTGCAGAGAGATCAAGAAGAATGAGGTCTAAGAAAAGGCCATTGGATTTAGCAATTGGGTGATCATTGGTAACTTCCCTTCCTTTGTTTCTGTATATTTTAATTCATCTAGCATTCAGAATATTGTGAATTTGTGGCTTTATATTGCACGATGAGAGTCTTTAGTAATGAAAAGCATTTAAACCTTTAAAATATCATAACATTTCCAATAACCTTAGATGTTGTACTGAATGTAAAGGAATTCCTGCTGTATAAAGTACAATCACTTAAGTTTCCCCTAGAGTAGACTTGGGAATGGAGTAGAGAGGATGCTCTACATCTTTAAGTATTGGAAGACTTATCACATAGAAGGTTGTTCACATAGAGCTTGTTCAGCTTGGTTCAGAGGGAAGAAAAACAGAATCAATGGGTGGGAACTGTAGAGACAAGCTTAGGATTGGTGTAAAGAACTCCCTAACACTCAGAACCCTTCCAAAGCAGAATGGGGTTGGCTAAGAAGGTACTCATCCCAGTCCCTGCCCCTCACCCCACAACTGGATTTCTTCAAAGAACCTGTAGATGACCATTCATTGGGGATATTGTTGAGGAGGATTCTCATGCAGGTATGGGTTGAACTCAGAGGTCCCTTCCAAGTCTGATGTTCTGTAACCTTAATCTCTGCCGCTCAACATTTTGAATTGATTATCTATAATCATATAATAAGAAGGCTGAATTCCATTTAAAACATTCCACTTATGAATGATCCATGAAAGTAAAATCTTCTACCAGACTTTTACCTTTGCAAAGCTTACTATTAAAATGTAGTTTGGCTTCCTAGATGTTCTGTCATTGAAAAGATCAGAGTTCAGTGATTAGAAATGTTTTAAATTTGCATTTATATTTATAAAAGTAAAACAGGGACTGCAGACTGAAATACACAATGTTGTGATCTCTCCTGAGATGCCACACAGTCCTCTAGCTTTGAACAACAGAGCTCTGGATCTGCTGCCTTGTGAAGTTAGAAGAAAGGAAAGAGACCAAACAGCTATCTTTTCTTCAGTTTTCTGGGTTTCAAAGGCCAATTGTATTCATGAGGCTGATAGAATTTCTGGTGGATTTCTTTACTACATTCAGCTGAGATAGAACTGACAATGTGAATGAGTAGATTTGATTTTGCTCAAAGTGCATCTCATGTGGCTTTTCAACTGAGATCATGGAGAATTTTTTCATACATTTCTAGTAAAATTAAATCAAATCGCTTAATGCAGAGACTGTGATTATATATATACATATATGTATATACATATATATCATAGTACAATATCTAACATAACAGATGTTTAATAAATGCTTGATGAATGAAAACGGCGAATTGATGAATTTTGCAATCTCTCTTGCAACCATCCCTTTCTTACCATTCTCCTGGTCCTTATTTAAGGCCCTTGTTTGAGTCCTTATGAATTTTCTTCTCTACTTTCTTGACTTCCTAACTATACTCAGTTTCTAGGTGCTCCCTCATCCTATAATGTCACTGCCAATATATGTGTGTATGTATAAATATATTATTTGTCTTTGAGTCATTCATTCATGTCAGACTCTTCCTGATTTTGTGAACCATGGCACACACACACATAGTACTGCCCATGGGATTTTCTTGGCAAAGATATTGGAATAATTTATCATTTCCTCCTCCAGTGGATTAAGG